ATTATATTTTTAGTTCCTTTTGAACAACAAACGTTTGTAAAAATAAATTCGTGTTACAAATGTTTGACATGTTAATGCTTTGCACTTTTTGCATGGCTTTGCTTTTGCATCGCTTTTTGCAAGTTTTCCGTCGAACTTTTCATTTGTGTTAGTCTTACAGCTAGACGTATTGGCAGATATCAGAAGCTAATTGTTGCAGATTTTATTAAAAAAATGAAGGAATAATTTACTTTTTTCAAACTGAAAAACTGAGGTAGAAGGCTGTAGTCGCAATCTTAACTTTCTAGCCCTTACTTCTTAAGAGGAAAAAGTATTGCAATCGTGTGCCGGAAAACTGGGAATATTCGACAGAAAAACTCTTGTTGCCGGACCCTGGTAACGAAAAAGGAGATAAAGCTAATTCCTATGTATAGTAAATTAACATGTTTAGTCAGAATCCATGTTTTGTGGGTCCTTGATTCTGAAAATCGACTGTGTGTTTGTTAAGTTGGGCCAATTTCTCTTCCACTGCACATCTGCTTTGATTTGTGTTTTTGTCCTGCAACTTTATTAGGAGATACTTGCAGTTATTTTTTACGGATATATCTGAAGTACACGTTAATTGAAAAAAATATGAATGACAGCGATAGTACGGAGCAATCCTAATCTTTACGCCATGAAAAAAAAAAATTATAAAAATACAACGAAAAAATTGTTTTATTTAAATCAAGTTTGCTTATGACAAAATGAATCAAAGTGGCAAGTCTCGGAATTAATGTCTTTGCTACTCTGCATCCTTTTGTGCTATACTTCAGAAAAAGCAAAGGATTTAAAAATAAAATATTTTTTCTGGATCCCTAAAACACGACACGGACTCAATTCACCGTTGCCAGTGTAAACTCATAACACTTCTCAAGCAAGTTTGTGACAGTATTAACAGACATATTTTTCGGATGGGGTCAGAGCCTAGTATTACAAAACAATGCGAATTTAGCTTCCAAAAAGATGGGCAGTATAGCTCTGAAGAATGCCACAACACGAAGGCCGAAACGTCAACTCAATCAACTGAGACGAATCTCATCACGGACAACCAAGTAGCCAATGACTCCGGCCGCGGAAGCCTACGAATACAACTTCCAAACAGATGTCTTCAATATGAGTGCTCAATGGTATTTCTTCGCATCGCAACGTTTATGGAATGAAACCTTGCGAAGTAGAGGGGAGGTGGTCACAATAATATTATTAATAACAGCTAGCCTTCAATTCTGACAGGAACCTATTAATTTACTCAGGACGTTATTTAAGTGGGTTGATGATAATGTGAAAGACATTACCTTTACTTTTTAGCAACGCTGAATATTTAGAAAGAGGACTATTGCAACAATGATATATTAAAAAATCAGTAGAAGGCACAGAGGAAATACATTGTTAAAACGTCACTTAACCATATTCTCTGTGAATTGAAGTATAAGAAGTATCAATTTAATTAATTGTATTCACATACTCATATTCGTATAAATATTCCGTCCGTTTAATATTAAATTGTATCAGTTTGACCTTTTTTTAAATTTGAATTTAATTGGCTATGAAGGTCATATGTACATATCTGGCACGTAATAAGATGTAAAGGGATACTTGTTTATTGCTTTGTGAACGTATATAGTAATCGTCTACTGCTGATTGGCACGTGGGAGTTACGGCAGCAACACAGCAAGTAGATATTTTATCGTATTTAATTTCTCAAATTCATCTAAGTGTCCCACTTTGTAATTTACCTCACTTACATAGACCTTTTTGAGATTACAATGGTATTTTTCAAATTGTTAAACTGTCGATTTTGGGGGAAAATTTAAAAAATAAAAATAAAATAGGTCAAAAAAATATTTTTTTTTAAAATTTAATGGAATCAATACATCCATCAAATGAGAGAGCATCTTTTGTTATTTAAAGCCGCAAAATATTAAATTTATGTTACAATTACAACACGAGTTATGATTAACTTTAATGCGTAATGATTAACTTTAGCAATACGAGCATTTTATCGACAATTTTGAAAATTAATATACTCTCGAAAAGCAATATTTGGAAAAAATGAAAAACATGTGTTTCATATTTTTGCTTATACTCTTCACAGAAAAAAATGTTTAAAATCTGGGACTTCACGTTCAAATAGTCCTTAAATTTGCGCGAATTGACGTGGATTGACCGATTTATTCTTATCAAAAGTTTGATGTTGCTTGCACACATTTAGTGTTTTCTCACTTAACGTCTTTTGTACTCTATTTCAATATCCCATTTAATTATATTAAATGTTTGATTATATTAATTTATATATTAATTATAATATTAATAATTATGTTAAATGTCGCTACCGACCTTCAGAGAGCAAATATGGCAACAGATTCCACATTCAGGCGACTATTTGTTTTACTAAATGTACTTTAATGTGCTAAATGTACTTAAATGTGCTAAATGTACTTAAATGTGCTAAATGTACTTAAATGTGCTTTACTAAATGTAGTGAGCGAGAAAATCTGCTGGCGAATTGCAAGCAAAGCCTCAAAACGAAACTGTTGTGTTACGGGCGACGGCGAGGGCAGGACCTGGGCAGGTCGGACAAGGCGCTCATGTTTCAGACTTGAATGACACACAAGCTATTGATACATCGAAAATATCTATTTCTATATATGATGAAGGTAACGTATCGGACAGGAAACTCAACTAGGCAAGAGCTTATGCATTTGGGGTCACCAAGCCACGTTCTTGCTCCTAGCCAGTGCTGATCTCTCAGACTCTGGTAAAGACGTAGGCATACTTCGATTTATTTACAGAGTCCGTTGGCGTTTGATCAGCTGTTACGGTGTCATCGAAGCGGGAGCTTCCACGTCACTACTCCCGATTGGAAGTCACCCAAACAGCTGATTTACGTCAACAGATTATGTTTAAATTCAAGTATAGTGATGCATCGTTGTGAATATTTATCAACTGTTTACTTGATAATACATAATAAATTAATTAAAATTTTATTGTATAGTGGGTTGCATTTTCTATTCTAATTTTGGAAATTTGACTTCAGATTCGGATTCAGCGACCTCCAAAACCCCAATGTTTATAAGCTATTGGCACCTTATTTGGCTGCAGGTCAGTTTTTTTTCCCAGTGTGCGACGGTGGCAGGACTTCCGACAGTAGCTACATAGCTAGGTCCAGTTGTCACTGTCTGGCGGAGAAGTCCAGCAGCCGACTGCTCCGATCGGTAGTTTTCCGTGGTTTCTTTGATCAACACCAGGCGAATGCCCGAGAAGTATCCTAACAAAAGGGCCACGTACCACGCGGGATCTTTCCTTCCTCTTCATTACTCTATCCTAACCCCTTACTGAAACTTACTTACACTACACTGTCCTACACTACCACACATGTCGGGAGCTTAAAGCTTATTTTGGCTGAGACGGTGCACCGCTGATGGGAGTTACATGGTTGAGGAAAACGTCGCAAGTCGACGCGGATGGGGAGGTCCGCGCCAAACCTTGCCATCCAGCAGGGGATCACAGCCACCTTCCGCAATGAAAACATGTACTACACTTATGAGACTAATGACCTTAACAGTTGACGCACCTGGAAACGCTTATCAATCAAGAAGCAAGAAGCACCAAATAAATATTCGATTGAAGAAAAATACATAAACCTCGAAGCATAGGCATATCTACACTATGGTAGACATGGCACGTGCCATGGGCGCACTCACAAGGGGCACTATTTAGATTATATCCACCAAGACAAATAACAAGCCTAATTTGAAATATCCTAACAGGGGCGCAAATTCTATGCTTGCCATGGTTGGCTGAATACGTAGATACTCCTCTGTCCCTAGGAATCAAGAAACAGCAAAATTCAGTTTCTACTATTCAAAAAACTACAGTTATCAAACCTCAATTAAGAAATTGTTTTAATTTACTTTCAAAGCTGTTTCCAACGAATGTTAACATGTCCAAGATATGAAAAGATGTACAGAGTTTAAATAAATTACTAAAAGGATTGCACCTCTAAATGAAAATGCCTACTTTTCAATTGATGGTTAATACACTCATTAGAATCGTGTTTTGTTTCAAAGGAAATTCTAAAATTTCCAATATGGTCTAGCAAGAATGTGTTTGAACTTTTTTTTAAATTTTTTTTTTACTGGCTCTATCACAAATTAAAAGTACCCACGTCTCAGCTATTCAGAGAATATATAACACACCGCAATGGTGGCTTCCTTGCTCCTCATCCTCAACAGATTATAAATTAAAATTATAATTAGTTTTAAGGACACAGTTTTGTTTAGATTGCCTCCAACTTCATAAATTATTATGAAATGAACTAATGATTGCTTTTAGTGCAGCAGATTTAATTTTTTATATCTGACATTAAGAAAACATTTCTAAAAAATAATTGTTTTTAACTCGTACAGTTTCCTATCAACACTTATGCTCTTGCTTCAGCCATGCAATACTGACATAATACCTAACACAATCAACATTTCAAGATTTTTTCCGCAGCTTTTTAATAGGCAATATTTCTTATCCCGTAAATTTTAAACTGCACATTTTGTACATATTTTAAGATTTTTAGAGCATATTACCTGGCATATTTCAGACATTTTTACTGCATATACATCTGAGCTCTAACTGTAATAATGACCAATGAAAATCTTGAAAATTTCCACTGACAATTTTATCCCTCTTTTTTTTCCCCCACTTCAAATAAAAATTTAGTGTTAGTTTATGTTTTTTTTTTAAATATATGGCAGAATTATTCTCATTCCTCAAGTAACCCAATAACGGCATTGCTTAAGAACTATCCTTAATTTCTTATATTTAGTTTTCATTACAAAAGTATCATTTTTATAATGCAATGAAATAGAAGTTAATTATAAAATTATGGAAATGGGTCTTCCACATAATTCACGAAAAAGTGTCAAAATGCTCGACATAATTCTTACTCATAAAAATAGTCTTAAATTTTAAGAGCATTGTATACTTACACAACACGGGATGCATCACCTCGTCTACAGCACTGAAATAGCTCTTTCATATCAGCACATCTGTAAAAAAAAATAATTCCATAACAAATCACATCCGAAGACATTTCATTTTAAATGACATTTCTGCAACGTAAAACATCTTACTCACGTATGTAGCTCCGAGTTCCCTACTGACATATCCATAATATCAAAAAATCTATATTAAATTAAAAACTATATTCTCAACCAAAGTAGCTAGGTACGTAAGTAGGCAATATCAGAAAAACAGCACTCTTTGAGATATAAAAGTTCAAGTCAAAAAACAATCAACATGAACACAAAATATCATGACAATAACGTATTTCAACATAACATCGCAAAACATCAACCAACCAATAACCTCAATGATTCGTACCACCATCAAAATTCTACAACACACTTCGCAACTGTTTCTCGTTCTGCATGAACTGATTTACCCTACAAATGAACGTTGACATTTAAATTTCCCGTCACAGTTGGTCTCTGGAACTAAAATATTCAAAAACTTACTAAAAATTTACTTCTGTTAAAAACTGACGCTTAATATTGTTCGGTTAAATGACATTCTCCACTAAATTAAGAATTAAGGATAGTTTATTCGGATTTTCGATTATCGACAAGAGTAATTTCATTCTCCTCGGTTACCATTCCGACAAATGTAGTCTAAATCATGGCGGTAAGCTGTATTATTGACGGTCTTTCGTAGTGGATCATTCAATTCATGCATCGTATGGAATTCAGAGCGAGTGTTAGCAATTAGGAAAGATTATTTTTCCTGAAGTTACTTTTGACCTTTTGTTTCAAGTTAATTCGTATTCGAATATGAGTATCATGGGAGAGTCGCAGCAAGCTATGTTTGGTGGTAAGTTATTTGAAAGTTTGTTTCGCTCCTTCAAGTTTGGGAAGGATTAAATAACGTTACGCAATGTGTGGAAGAATACATTAACAGGTGTCCTTTCGCCTCGGAATGTTCGTAAGTACGTAAAGGTGCAGCAATTCAATTTCCTGCCCCTTTTCGGGAAAAATAATAATTTAATTAGTTTTGCGCGTCTGTTGGCATTACATTTTTTTATACCTATTAAATTTTCGGAATTTCTTGCCTCTTTCCATTCGTTTTACACGTTAAAAGTAGAAATTGCTGCCACATTTAATTTTTTATTGCTGTTCTATTTGCATATGTACGCTATACGTTGATCACTCCAAGAAAACTTCTTTCGTGTTTGCTTTTCTTTGTGGCCTTTTCGTGAAAATATTTCGAGATACAGGAATGCAAATACTGTTTGTGGTTTCTAAACGTAATTTCTTTCTCTCTTAATGCCTCAAATATAGTGCTTCTCAGATGGTTTGAATGTTACGAAAAAAACTCGTAGAAAAGAGAAAATCGGCAATATTTTTGACCTCGTATGTTCCGAAATAATTGGTTTATTGGAATTTTAGTCGGGAAATTTTTTAGTAGCACAATATCCTTCATTATTTCGAAACTGGGCACTTCAAAAGTTGATTCATGAATGAATAAATAAAAACAAATGCACCAAGGAAGAATATAATGTAATGAATCTAAGAGATCAAATTTTTGCAGATCACAATAATGGAATAGAATAATACTCAAGTTATAAATTCTAAATAAATCGCCATAAGTTTGTCATTCAATGTAGGATAGATAGAGCTCAGAGGCATACCTTCATTCTCTGGGACCCCAATGCAAAAGGTCCAAAGGTTCCTTTCTGCCAATACCAAATTTTTTGAGGTTTGGTGGGTGTCCTCATTTGGGGCCCTAGATTTCAGAGACCCTGGAGCTGATTATTGGTTGTACCAGCCTAGCTATGCCCCTAATCGAGCTACTTCTAGTGAATTTTGGGAGGTTAATAATGTATAAAATGGTCAATTTTTTGAAGTGGTGGAAAGGAATAAATTAGAAATTTTTAGTTTTAAAAGTTAATGGTTTCATAGTGATACTTCACTTTTTTGTAATAGTTTATCAACATAATTGTTTAGAGGAAAGTTTCATTGTGTTTTAAGTTAAATTATTCACCAACTTAAGTTTTTTAAACTTCAGGATCTTTGAGAGAGTTGTGAAGAACTTCACCATGCAATGATTGCATCAGTGTGTGACCTCTTCTCCCCCCCCCCCCCCAATGAAATTTTTAAAATTTAGGACCAGTTTTTGAGAACACCAAATATTTTCCATTTCTGAATTCAATTGAATAGATTATATAATTATTAATTTTATTTAAGTGTGTTCTCAGCCTAATTGTTTTCTTAGCAAAGTATTATCTTTGGGGGGGGGGGCTGACTTACATTCTAAACCACCTTGCGTTTAAATTTAAAATCACTTGCATTTTCACCATTTTACTGTGTAGTTTGTTAGAATGAGAAACTCAAAATGATTTCTATTATTTATTTACAACAATGGAACTTTTAATAAAAAATTTAAATTGTTTGCAATAACCATGAAGTAGTAAAACAGGACATGTATAATGAATGCATAAAATAAGACTGTAAACAGCAAAAATTAAGAAAAATTTCGAAAAAAGGGAATAAAATATAGCAAAGAGAGAAGATAATAAATAAAAAATAATTATATTCAGCATCATTTGCTAGGTGGTTTCATTTATGAATTGCATTAATTGTTTGGGAGAAACAATGTTCTAGTAGAGTTACTAGTATGTTTGTTTTTTTTATTTACAACTGAGAGCAACCACTCTTGATTTCTTAGAATTTTTTTAAATATTAAATGTAAGGTTCAACAATGGTAGATCTTAGACTTAATTAATGTTCTATAATTTTAGAACTTTAGTGTTGGTTTTCTGTTTTCCTGATTTGGAATTGATTATAATGAATTCAAAAATTATTAAAATGAGCATTAATGCATAATGTGAGATTGTTGTTACAAAATCCAACTCATTCAGGAGTACAGGGAAAACTAGAAGGGTGAATAATATTACAAAATTAATGAATATTTAAGAGTAGGTAAGTTAATAAATGTGGTGTCACTACTGAGAATGACCTTTTGTATTATTGAAAGTGTGAATAAACGGTGTTAAATTGTATTTATTAAATTTGTTTTGCAGTTGAGATATAGAGCTGAGATCAGATCAATGTGCTTTTGAAAATTCTAAGTATTTATTTACCATGTGCAGCTCTTAACAATAACCAATTTTAATTTGTTGTACAGAAACCACAACAATGCCAGAAAAGTTATTTAAAGTCATAATGATTGGTGATCCTACAGTGGGGAAGACTTCATTTGTCCAAAGATACATGCTGAAGACATACAAGAAAGATTATAAAGGAACAGTTGGTGTAGACTTTGCTTTAAAGATACTGAAATGGTCTGACACTCAGACAGTAAAGCTACAGCTTTGGGACATAGCTGGTAAGTGGATTTGATTGAAAGATATTGCTATGTCAGTATGTATATTTATATTTTGATACATTAGACAATTCTGATTTTTATATAATTTTGAGGTAAAGAAATGAATGGTATAGGATTGAATGATTTAGGAGGTAGAAGAAATTGTCATTGTGTTCGTTTTGTTTCTAATATAATTTGATCCTTAGGTCAAGAACGATTTACTTGGATGACCAGAGTTTATTATAAGGATTCCCATGGTTGTGTTATCATGTTTGATTTAACAAATAAAAATTCATTTATAAATACACTAAAGTGGAAAAGAGATGTGGATTCAAAATGCAGCCTTCCTGATGGCAGCCCCATCCCTTGTATGCTGTTAGCAAATAAAGTAATGAAGTCTATATTTACTTATTAATGATTTCTTTGGCGTATCTTACTGCAACACTGCATTAAAAAAAAAGGAAAGAGCAATTACATTATTAAAATGTGCAATCTCGTGTAAAGTGATAATCATTGGTAGCAAGTCCAAATGCTATTTATGAATATATTCAAGTAATTGTATTTGAGTTTTCATTTCTTCACCAAAAAAATAATATCGCTAAACACATCTTTCAGTGTGATCTTCCTCATAGACAAGTGGACCAAATGGAGATTGAAGCATTTTACAAAGAACACAATTTCATTGGATGGACAGAAACTTCTGCAAAAGAAGATTTGATGGTTGAGGATTCAATGAGGTACATTAAATTTCATTACTCATCTAATTTCTCTTAGTCTCATATGCTTTGATATACTTTCAATGTTCGCAGATTTTTGGTGGATGTGATGATGCGACAAGAAACTGGAAATGCGAATTTGGATTCGGACAGTTTGAGATTAACTGGTCCTGGCCCTCAACCTGCCCGTGGTGGTTGTTCATGTTAACAGGATAATCTGTTGGACAAGCTTTTTTTTCTTCTTCCTTCAGTGAATTCCATATGAATGTATTAAAAAGGGTATTCCCAAAAGAGTTGCTTGGCATGAAATGCAATGTTTATTTATGTAGTTAGTCATGCTTCAGATTGATCTTCTGTGCCAATGTAAAAGTATTTAAAAATATAATGTCAAAGCTTTCAGGCTTAATTTCTAGAACAATGGTTGCTTCAGTAGGACTTCATAAAAATAATTTGGGTAAATCTATTTTATCTTGTATGAAGAAATTTTGAGATGGGACAATACTAATTTTTATTTATGCAACTATTGTATTGTCAAACACATAAATTTGAATGTTATAGGTAATGTGTGTTCTGTTGAGCACAGAAAGAATAATAGTAATTTATATTGCATTTCTGCTTTGAAACATGTGTATTAATCATATAAAAGATTAACATCATTTCAGCTGCTACTACAGCTCCCTTTTGAGCCTTTATATTTGCAGCTGTGGTACATAAGCCACCAGACACATTCCATTATATTCTTACACCCTTGTGGCCTTACTCCTTATATGAACTGCCAAACTTAGTACTTTCCATGAGCTTTTATATTTTGTATAACTTTTTGTATTATAATGAATACTCAGACAACAATATTTATCCATTTGAACTAGTCAATTTATTTCATTATAAAAGAAATTAAAACTTAAGTGGAAAACCATGACTTCTATGACAAGTTCTAAAGGCATCAGACCTAATGGCTCTGAAGCTATTTCTGTGATAAGTTTTTTTCCCACATTTTATGTAAGTGTTTTGCTTTTATCAATTTATTGTATTGAAAATATCGTAAGAAATATATTGTGTTCAAAGTTTGTTAAATCTTGCATATTGTAGTAAATCTGTTTTCTTCCCTTTCTCATTTTTAAATTAACTTACTGCAACAGTTTTTAAAAGCAGCATATTGGTATATATAATATATCTTTTTTGAAACTACCAAAATAATGAAACCCAAATAATCTGAAAGAATTGGGGCACTGCCTTTCGTGTATTATCGTATGTAATGTGCCTACTTTCCTTGAGTAAATACAGTGGAATCTGATTAGTTGGTTTTAAGAGGCTGAAAGATTTTGAATGACTTGAGCTGGAAAACATTATTGAAAAATGTTAAATTTGTTTTCATGTTTCCTTCAAAACACCATAATTTGGAGTAGAAATTAGTTTTCACATAACACATATACAAGATTAATTTAATTAGAAACTATAACTAAATAAAACTAATTATAAATAATACATGGCATTTCAAATAATGCAAATAAGCAACACAAGTTCACAACTGTTACACATTCTATCACAGAACACCTGTTCTGTGATGTGTAGCAGTTATGCAGAGGTACAGTAGAAACTTTCTTTAGCTGGTTTCCTTATCAAACTGCCAGAAAAAATGAGTCTATACTCCTAAAGTGCCCTGCCTTTGATATACATTGAAGACCATACTGTTCTCTGGGAAAAAAAACAACATGAATTGTGGATCATGTTACTGGCTTGAAATGTGTTAGTAAATTAGTAATTTAATGGGATTACGACCTGGACAGTTGTATGTTTTATGCAGCAAAATGTAATGGGAACATGCTTATGAGATTCCACTGTGTTATGTTGCTTCTAGAGTTTATACAAATCTAGAGAGAAAAAAATTGATTTCTAATATGGATATTAAAGATTCTCAATTTAATAATCAGTATTTTAAATGTTGGGTAAATAAAAGTGCAGTTGCATTATATTCATAGATTGGTATATGTGAATAGTCTATGAATTAAACTTTGTAGTTGTGATTTTGGTAAGGGTTAACATTTTTCCAGTGCAATAAGATTTCATACTTTATCAAATTTCCAAAAGTTATTATTTATTACATATGCTTCATAGTTGCACTTTTATACTTATAATAATGTGTAATTGACTAGAAGCCTTTTCTCAAAAAATCTGGCTTGCAAGGACATGGTTCAATAGGAGAAAGTAATTTGTGTTCTTATATATTAATGCATTTACCGTGGACAATCATTTTGTACTGTATTTCTGAATAAAACAATTACATTTCTGGAATCTGTTTGCATTGCTTTTCTCAGACCTATATTTTTTCAGTATGCTAGGTTAGGCTAGGCTAGGCTAGGCTAGGCTTGAAATTTAAGTATTGTGATTACACGCACAGTAGTCAATGTGGAGAACGAAATTTTACAATTGGTATTGTCAAATGCTTCTGAGTGTTTTCAGAAACAGTACCTACTTTCTTGCTAATTAACAAAAACACATCATTAAAAAAAACATTTATTTCCATAGATATTGATATTTTGAAGAGTAAGCAAGTCTTATATCAGGTATAATGAAACATGATCCCAATCATATACTAGAGAAGATACAGCAGTATATATAAGGGTAATGTATAATATGTTGTCCTTCAGTCATCACTCAGAATATACGACGAATAATATAACTCAAAATTACGCACAAACTAATACTTAGAAAAAGTTAAAATGAAATAGAAGATCTGAAAGTGGAAAATAGATAGCATTAAAAATAAATCTCCAACTTCAAGGGAGATATAGTCTAGTCTATCATCTCTATACTATTTTTCTCACTAGTAATGGATAGATTATAAAAAGAGAAATACAATGATGTATCGTACATTAGTATTTTGATATTAATTTGAGCAATAAAATTATTACTTTCTGACTTGGGAATTTAAATTAAACGGACAATATTTTCAGTAACAACCCTTGCAACTGTGGCCTTCGCTGCATAGCGCCCAGCCTCTTATGGGGAGAGGGGCGGCATTGTATTCCTCTTTTTATGATTATTCGCAGCTGGTGAGGAAAATACATAGTTCCATTTAAAATCGCAGTTATTTCTCGAGAAAAAAAAAAGATTATTAACAATATCTCTTCAGTATATTTCTAGTCCCGTTTAGAAGAAGAAAAGAGGGTGGCCCACAGTTGGTGGGACACTCAGTATATAACTCTCTTAAAATCAATTATATTGATATATTTAGATAAGATAATGCCTTATTGCTGCAACCATGGAGATATGGATTTTGCTAGTCTTCAGGTGATTGTGTATCACATCTTATTAATTGTTAATGATTCCGGGCGCGTTAATTACTAGGGTCATTAATCTCATAAGTGTAGTGCGTGTTTTGCTCGGTGGCGGTGGGCTTTCAAAGCTGTTTGGCGAGATCCAGTGCCGACCTACCGTCGGTTAGCGGGGTTTTCTCCAACCAGGTATCTTCCACTAGTGGGGCACCGCCCCAGCCGTGACAAACTCTAAGCTTCCGGCATATATGGTATAGTGCGGTTTTTTCAACTGTGCACCTGAGCCCCGTCTTCCGATTGGCATTATCACTTCATTTCGTCTTTTTCTTTGCCGATAGATGTCGTATGCTAGCGACTGTATGACTACTTGATACGGTCGCGACATCTAGCGGCACGACCGAAAAAGTCGCGAAATGAAGTGACATAATGCCAATGTGAAGACGGGACTCAGGTGCACAGTTAAAAATTACACTAGTAAATGTTAATGTAAGAGTGTGAAAGGGGACGAAGATAGGACAAGGAAGAGATCGCGCGCGGTCGTGGGTCCGTGTGTTAAGGTACTACTCCAGTATTCGCGTGGTTTTGATGGGAGAGACCACGGAAAACTACGGATCACAGCAGCCGGCCGCTAGAACGCTCCAGACGACTGAATTCGACCTATACTGCGATTATCCCAACTCTGCCCCTGGCAGGTATCAGATGCTGACATCCGATCAAGGGCGAACGTCATCGCAGAGACGTCACTGTGGTGATGTTCAAGTTCCCGATTGGATGAAAACGTCAACAGCTGATTCCTGCCAGGGGCAGAGATGGAAAAATCGCACTATAGCTGACAAGCTAGTGTTGAAAACATATTGCCACCGTTGGGACTCGAACCTAGGACCTCCCGGTCAGAGGGACTGCAGTGACATCAGTTGATGCTCTGAGCCATTCTCTCCTGGTACACCTCATTGAATTAAATAGACTATTCCACTCGTGAAATTGAAACCAATAGTATTTAACTATATAGATAATATGCCCCAATCAAGGCGGTGTATCGCAACAAATATACCACTTTATCTATGGAGCGTCTAAGGTAAAGAATGAAGTGCGGTCTCTTATGGCAAAAGCGATGCTAAATGTGGCGCTTCTCTACTGTACTGAATTAACAAAAAGTTGCGCACTCGATGGTGTCGACGAATCCCGCAGAGATGTCCAGAACACGTGACTTTTAGGAGTTCGGAAGACAGCACCATCGCCTCTGGTCGCAAGTGGCATATGCCGGTAAGCCGCGAACTAATGGATAAAATAAAGTATACGTGTGGATTTTCTTTTAGTACAGCGAGACCATACTTCGTTGGAAGTTTTCCTCTGCCTATAATGGTTTAAAACCGTTTTTGTTTTGGGTGGGAAGACTTTCTTGCAGTGAGATGTTCTTTTTTTCTTTAAACTAAAATTGTAATTTCACGATAACCAAGTTGAATTGATTAATTGGATTGTTGGTGAAGTAGATACCTTTTTTTATTTTGATAAATAAATAGAGATATTGTCAGGTATCAATATTTTAATTCCACATCCTCAGAGCTTGCAGCTTCTGGGCCGAAAACAAAGTTCTTTGTGCAGAACTTTGTTTTCGGCCCAGAAGCTGCAAGCTCTGAGGATGATCGCTACGCGATCGAAATGATCATTAGTGGAATTAAAATATTGATACCTGACAATATCTCTATTTATTTATCAAAAAGTTGAATTGAATTGATACCTTATTTTACGTGGCGAGACTCGGGCCATCAGACACGCTCTTCCATCTCACCACGCAAATTTCGCTATACTTCTTTCACCCACTAGCGGAGAAGGGAGGTATTTCTTGGGCGACGAAACAAGCGATTTTGAATTTAGCTCAGAAGCGGCATTTAGGCTTGAGATCTTTTACATGCAAGTAAATCTACTAACATGGGGGAGCCGACTTTACATCCCCTCCGAAGGCGTACGAAGGATTTTTTCGCCTTTGAATATGCACGGCTTCGATTGGGATGCCAACTTGGCCAACAGTCCGATGCGCTAACCGTTACACCATCGCGCCGCCAGGTTATGTGTGGTACTGGACTGGGGCATAAGGGGACGTCAGAGGCAGAATAACCTTTCCCAGGCAAATATCAAAACCAACACAACGAAAAACAGGGAAACAACCGGAATGCGTACTTGTTTAGCACAATGTGTTAGGTAACAGAAGCACGTAGAACCACAGCTGGGGCTGATCTAACAGCCGAACGTATCCCTTCCTACAAAAATTAATAAATTCTAAAGGTTTTACCAAGCTTTGATGTAAATTAATGTATTCGAAGTATAATTTTATTAATATAATTGTTATAAAATTATAATAATGAGGATTTAAAACAGTTTTGAAATCTTAAAACGGGGGCATGTTTCTTTTTCGGAAAAGCCCGTAAGGCACTATCCTTCATTATTAACCTCGGTCGTGCTATAGTAATTTCTTCTAACACTCCTCCCTACTGGCCAATAATAAGCTGCGACTCATCTATTTCACGAAGCGGATCACTCTGTCGATGTGCAATAAACCGCGTATGTACTATAACATAGAATCTTTTTTAATTTTAAGAAGCTTTCAGTTATTTTCAATATTTGGCGCATTTTGAAACTCTGTTGTATGTAATTTCATTTGTGGAATACTCCAATTAAATACCTCATGCTTTAAAATTCTCAGATAAATCCCATCTTTGCTTCACGAGACGGGGATTTATCGACAATTTCCAAGGCACTCATGATATCACCTACTACGCACCTACACACCTACACTACGTTTTGTTAATGATAGATAAGTAAATCTATTAACATATGTCTCAGAATAAACGTTACAAACTGCTTGTAGAAGAGGGCGAACATTACCCCTTTTTTGGCCATTGATGCAGTGGGAGGCTGAAATGCAGTTTACGATACGATTCGTCCACGCGCGCGGACGCATAGGTTTCGTTCACGCGCAAGTATCCATGTAGGAAACGTTTTTGGGGCAAACGGGAGTCAAGAAATGAAGGTTTTCCGGAAAAACATGAAAATATGGCTGAAGTGCAGTTTGTGATACGAATCGTTCACGCGCGCAGATCCCGAAAATAAACGGACCGAACGCTCTTAAGAGGAATCGGGAAGGTTTGTTTGAGTAGAGTATTATAAGTGCAAGTGCGTAGAGGCATCTTTGTGTGAGCGTGTGATGGAGAATTTAAATGGAATTGGAGTGCTATTAAGAGTACTCTGCCGTGCCATGCACCTTCCGAACGGGTTTTTCTATTTGTGCGAATACTATATGTGCAAATTTTCTTGATATTCCGCAGCGGGGGATGCGGGGAGAGGAAGGTTCTGGGTACGTCACGGCTTACAAGGGCGACCCAATTGTGAGCATAAACTTCGCGAGCCAAAGCGTGCCACGAGAAAAACTACGATGTTTCGAAGGTACGAGGTGGTGGTTGTTGACAGCATTGTAAACAGGTACGTGCCGTTCCAAATCGAACCTAACCATTTCAACGAGTCGTGCTATTTAGGGCTGGGAAGGACTTTGGAACTTGTGTATCAAGAAAACTTGCGCGAATATGTGGAGGGGAAAACTTGTGGGGCAAAACTTGGGGAGGAGAAAACTTGTGAGGCAAAAAATGAAGGCTTCGAGTCTGCAAGTGTTTCCAACCAACATTTTTCGACGAAGGGATTAGAACTCAGATGCTTAGGTTAAGAAGAGGTTGTACACGTGATAAAACCAAAATTATGGTTTTTAGTTCTTCGTGTTATTTTTAATCTTTTATATTCATTTAACATACTGCAATATTAATTTTCGATATTTTTTTTCTAAAGGCTTAAAATATGTAAATGTCTATCGGCGCAAAGCGCCACATCCACGTCCCCTGCTACTCTACACTCTTTTGAAAAAGAGTACGATTGTAGAAACAAAAATAAAAATTTGGAGAATCATGACGAAGATGCTGAAGATACAGAATATGCACCAGGATTGACTTAGAGTTATGTTGTCACAAAA